GATAGTGGAAGCCGTATAATGCGGTTATTAATGCGTTCAAGAAGATAGTCTAAATCAGCTGATAAGCAATTTAGCATTGAATAAGACGTTAAGACGTTTTCTGCAAACCCGTTCCCAAGTAACACATCTCTGCAATCAATGTGCAATCAGTTTAATCACTCTTTTATTGCATCAGTGAATCACTAACTACAAATGAATCCTAGTATACTCTCTCAGCGTAATTTTTAGAATTAAACAAAATATTTCCGAATTTACGAAACGCTGAAAGTTTCACCAAGCACTTGATAGTCGTTCCACGGGTTGGATTGTTGATACGTTGTACATGTAGAGTGTCGACCGTGTAATACAAGAACGAGTCAGGTCAGTAGTTAATGACTCATTCACGGACACCAATGTACACCGTACTCATGCAAACCTCCCGCGTGTGTTCGTCAGATTGCGTAATGAACTGGAATTTCATGAATTCGTAGATGACCTTTGTGAATCCACGCCATTATGGCGCCAAGATCAGATATAATTGTATTAAGAACGGTCTCTCTCCCTTCTCATTTTTTCATCTTCTTTTGTTTTCGTCGAACACTCTGACCTTCGCATTGCTTGTGCGCACATATCGCGCGTGAAAAACTTGTTATTTGAATTTCATCATATCCCCAAATAATTTCGTTCCTTGACATAAAAATTCTTGCAGCATAAAGTTTCGGACATTTATGAAATTTTCTGGGGAAATTGTAGGAAACAAGAGTTGAATAGAAATACGTTTCTTCTTCCGTTAATTCTAATCAATGAAGGAGAATGTAACAATATATTTTAACTAGTTTGAAGTTCCTACCATTTTACATTTCATCATTTATATATGATAATCAATTTTCAAGTTACTTCAATAAACATACGAAGTCAAAATACATTTAAAGAGCTTCACCATTTTGCAATCCTTCATAGTCTTTCAAATCTTTCAAATCTTAGAGAGATGCTTATGCTAACAATACATTATTAAACGAAAGTGAACGCATTTTTTTCAGTGTGCAAATTCATTCCAAAATGAGCAAGCTTATGCTGTACATCTTCGCCTCCATGCTAATTGTAGCAGTTGTGTCAGGAGCATCCACGTCGTGCGGTCGTCACGGTGATCCTGTGAGTAAAAAATCACGTCCACTATCATTATTATTAACCCTTTGCACTCCGCTGTCCCCTCTCGTGGGACATCGTAATTCTAGCATATCACTCGGATGTCCCCTCTCGTGGGACATTCAAGTTTATTAGTGATTACGGGGAATTGAGTTATGTCAGCGCAACTTTTTGAGACATTCATGTTTCCCTGAAGTTTTCTCTTGAAATGACACAAGAAATCAAATCAAAATATTAGTAAAAATACTAAGATATATACAAGAAATGTCAGCGGGTTTTGACGAGAACGTGACAGGCGTGCTCACGACGGTCCGAGCACTT